CTCTAGTATTGGACTTAGACCTATGGAAGGAGCTACTGATGTGAAGACAGGTTGGTACCTAGAGATGGAGCAAAGAGAACTAATATTAGTGGAGTTCTTACCATGGGGTTGAAAAATAAGGTAGGTATTATTATTTTCCTTTTATAGATGAGGAAGCTGAGACTCAGTAATGTAAAGTAACGTCTTCAAGATAATGGACTGTATTGAATCCCAGTTCTGACATTTAACTAGCTGTGTGGTCAGACTGAGTCATTTAACCTTGAAGGGAAGGAACTCTTGACACAAATAAATGATGTTAATTTTCTTCTAATTTTGAATAAACTGACATATCTTTCAGTGTCAAAATATAGTGTATCTATTTATTAACCCCTACTAGTGTTCCTATTTTGAGTTATCTTTAAGTCTACCCCCCTCCCATTCCTTCAGCTTAAGATTCCCTAGTCCAATTTAGAAAATATCAACTTTGTTAATAGTTGGATAGAACAATAAAGGGGTTAAAATTAAGGGTAATGATGGATGACTTTGGTAAAGTGATAGGAAATGGTTTATGACAATTGAACTGATGTCATAATGGTACCTGATGTATCCTGTAGGGTCCCAGAGAGGAAATAAATGATGCTATTGAAATTTACAAAAGATAAATCAAATTGGAAGACTGTAAGTCAAGCTGTCTGTTCAGAGCCATCCCTAGGCCTGAGTTATTTTCTAGATAAACCACCCTGTCCCTGCTCTAAAAATTGATTTGCCTTTAATTATGAGTAAGAGAAATGGGAAAATAAACCCGAGTATCCTGGATGTTTATTTGGAAAGTGACGGCCTTGGGATAATGCTGTGAATTAATATAACACCCCTTATATGTAATGTATCATATGCATTCTAATCTGAAAGCTCTAAATTCTCCATAGTTATGCTGTGTTAGAAACTGTACAGGGGAAATTACCATCTAATCCCTGTCCTCTGAAACTCTCATACATTATATTCGTAACCCTTATACATTGTTAGTGGGATTGTAAAAAGGTGTAATTTATTTGGGGAAAAAATAGGCACTATATAAAATTTAAAGATGTACATGACCTTTAGAACAGCATTTCTAGGAATTTATCCCTAATATCTGCATATGCACAAAGATGTTTACTATAGTATTTGTAGTAGCAAACAACTGGAAACAACCTACGTGTCTAGTCATAGGGGACTGATCAAACTATTTTATATACACATGTACATATCGAAATACCATTATTCAGTCTTTAGAAAGAATAAGGTAGATCTTTTTGTATCTTAAACAACAATCTCCTGGATATACTAAGTGCAAAAACATTATTTAATATACTACAGTATGCTGCTATTGTATAAAAGCAAACAGAAACAGGCGCAAAGCATTCTTATGCTTCTGTAGACATAAACTCTCTGGAAGGATTCACCAGATATTGGTAATTGTGATTTCTTCTAAGGCGGATAGGGTGAGAGGGTAACATACTTGATGTTTTTGAATTTTTTTTGAAGATTTGCATTCATGTATCTTAAAATACCGTGCAAGATATATGCTTTGGCCACACATTGTTGCTGTAAGAGCTTGTACTCATCGATGAGAATGTCTGTGTACATGCTTTAGTATTTCTGGCTTTGAACTTGAGGACTCTGTCAGTTTGTCTTTTGTCCTAGGAATGGGGAGCATTATTGACCACCCCTTCCAGGGTTGGGTGGATACTGGTAGGAAACGTTTCAGATAGAAGTTGAAGAAAAAGCCTAATACAGTTTTAAAAAAGAATATTAAAAAAAAATATTAAATAGTTAGGGTATTCTGCCTGAAGAAAGAGAAGAGTCATATAGAAAGGAAATGAGAGGAGGAATTGAAAGCATTCTGAAGTGTAAATGTCCGTGGAAATGAGGAAGAGAGAAGGGGGTCAGGAGTCTGCAGGGAACTTAAAACATTGTAAAAATGTTTTACCCATTTTTGAATTATCTCTAAATTATACCCTTTTGTAAAAGTCGCTTTCCATACTTTTAAAAAACAAAATAAAGAAATTAAAGTCCAGATGATAATTTATGGTTTCCTGAGTAACTTAAGAAGATAGCAAAATGAGGATTAGAACCTTGTTTTCTAGATTTCCAATCTAACCCCGAGATTATTCTAAGATTACCTGAAACGTGATGTGAGCGTAGGGAATAGCACACACACACAAAAACAAACCCAGAAAATTTAAGAAGTTATGTTTTAAATTTGATATATAAAAACATTTGTTTCCAAACAAAGGTTATCTTTTTCCCCATCCAGTTTTAGGGGATGAAGGTGGGATTTGGGGTTAAATCCAGCTTTGTCATTGCACTACCATTTCTTTCTTTTCTCTGAGTCATTCTGGTGCAGGAAAGGGAAGGGTAATTGAAATACTAACGGTTGCATAGCATTTCACAGTTTTAAAAGCTTTTTTCACATATATTGTTTTGTCACTTTGCGACTATTCTATGATACAGGTAGTGGTGATATTTTGTTATTTTTATTATACTTTCACTATTAAAGAAAACATAGACTTTGGAAAGTTAGATAATTTCCCTAAGATAACATAGCTGATGTGTGTCAAAGCTGACCTTCACAAAATTAGGCTCAGATTTTCTTTTTCATTCTACCCAAAGAATAAAGTTTTATGAAGTAGATTCACTTAGTTTGGTGGAAGACCAACTCTGAGAGGGACGTTGATCAAGAAAACATTTGGAAGCCTAAAACTTTGGGGCAAAGTGATTTGATTAGTAGATGGTTTTGGGGGGCAGATGAGACTCTGACCCTCCTGAGTGCAGGCACAGGTGAGGTCCTTGTAGTTCTCGTGTATTCTTGCCAGCCCTTGTCATAGCTGTTTGTCACATCTTCAGTCTCTGCATTGATGTGAGCCGTGGGCTAATTAAAGGGAATGTACTTAACACCCTGCTTGAAAACGTGCACCACATTAGTCACAGGAGAGCTATTTTTGTAATTAATCACACATAAATTAGTAAAATGTCTTTTCTAAAATATGTTGGTGAAATATGTTTCTCATACTAAATGTTGATAAAGGGTGAGGAGGAAGACGAAAATGAAAACTTTCAAGCTTGGTAAGCATAAGTATATTTATAATTATAATTTATATTTATATAAATATATTAAAAAAATTTTTTAGAGACAGTGCTTTGCTATGTTGCCGAGGCTGGCCTCTAACTTCTGACCTAAAGTAATCTTCCCACCTCACCTTCCTGAGTAGCTGGAACTACAGGCGTGTGCCACTATGCTCAGCTTTTATTTTTTTTATAATTATACTTTAGAGATGCTGGGGGAGAATTTGGTGTTAATGCATTATCTGATTAAACTGACGAAGAATTTCCATACGCTAATGTGGGGCCAGAGCTTGACTCTATCTAGTATTTGACCTTTGGATTAATCTGAGTGCACTGGAAAGCCACTGAGTGGTTCCAAGCAGAGGAATAACGTCATCTGATGAGTGTATTTAAAGAGATCCTTTGGCTGTAGAATAGAGATGTGGGAGGGGTGGATGTGTGAGGAGCATCAGTTTAATTCTAACTAAGCAGCTGACAAGAGACATACTTTTAAATGAGAATGCCAGTACTTTAGCGTGAAAAATACCTAAATATCTGTCCTTTGAATTGGATATTTTGGTTGACTGGTGGATTCTTAGTTTATCTCAGGGTTCTCGGTAATTTTTTAGAGCTCCTCAGTTGATTATAATAGTGTAGCCAGGGTTGGGAACTGCTGCTTTTTACCTTGGGGAAAGAGGGAGGGATTTGAGGGGTAAATTTGGGAGAAGGGGTAATGAGCAAAAAGCTCTGGAGAGTTTGGAAAGTATGACCCTTGTTATGTTTATTTTTTGTTTTTGTAATTCCACTTTCATATTCATATGTTCCAATGTTTAGATGTTTTTGGTTGTATGAATTTAATAACATTAAACTATAAAGTTCCCATTTATTCAGCCTCTTCTAGTTTTTTCTTTTCAAACTGTTCCTTTTCATAAGGAAAAGAAGGAGAGAGTTAAGAAGGGCTGACTGGGATGTAATATAATGCGAAAAGAACTCGCCAGCATTAACAGAAGATTCTATCTCTTAAGAACTCTTTTTTTAAAGAGATGGGATCTCGCTTTTTTTTTTTTAAAGAGATGGGGTCTTGCTGTGTTGCCCAGGCTGGAGTTCAGTGGCTATGCACAGGCACACTGATAGCGCACTACAGCCTTGAACTCCTGGCCTCAAGGGATCCTCTGGCCTCAGCCTCCAGAGTAGCTGGGACTGCTGAGTGCACCATTGTGCCCTGCTCTCTTAAAAACTGTTAAAAACATTTCTAAGCCTAGTTTCAGTCAACCCATTTAAAACGTTATATATGTATGTATACTGTGTATATGTGTGTGTGCATTCAGAAGTTTGAGTGAACCAGCCATTACTAATGTCTAGCTCTTAACTGCTTCACAAGAATTCTGGATTAAAATTGCTGATGCTTCTTATAATTGAGTAGTAGAAGAAAATGTAGCTTCTCTTTCTTGCTCTAGGATTTTTATGTTTTATTGATATAAAATTATATCTTTATGCTTCTTATAGGAAGAAAACAAATTTATTTGTATTAGGATGAGAGACTTACAATAGAAGTAAAAAGAATAAAATGAGTAACACTTACCGTGGAGGTACTTTTTCATTTTTAGATTAAAACCTACAATCCTGAGTCATTAATTTATTGTCAAGAGCTGGATTAATTACAAGTAACATTTTTTTCTCCTTGTGAGTTAAATTAGGGAATGTAGAGAAAGTGTGTAGGTGTTCTAGGTGGAGAACATAGTATTACAGCAGTGATGTTGCTGGGATTCAGTGTACCCAGCACAGTTTAGCTTGAGTGGGGCTAAAAGTATATTTGGTGTTTATTTGGGGACATTCGGGGTCCCCTCTGTTATTTTATCCAGTGATCTGGTGTAGTAGACTCTCGAAGGTCATGCCTTAAATATTGAAGTGCCTTTTTTTCCCTTTTCTGTTCATAGTGGTAGTCGCTCTTCTAAAACTTTTAAACCAAAGAAGAACATTCCTGAAGGTTCTCACCAGTATGAACTCCTAAAACATGCAGAAGCCACACTTGGCAGCGGCAACCTCCGGATGGCCGTGATGCTTCCTGAGGGGGAAGATCTGAATGAGTGGGTTGCAGTTAACAGTAAGTAGCCTTTCTATTTCTCAGGAGATTATGAATTAGGTTAATTAGACTCATTGTAGGTGAGTGTTGGGGTGTTAACTCCATAGTCAGAAATGAAATAAGATAAAGGCTAAAGTTGGACTGAGACATCAGTATATTGCGATATTAGGTTGCTAACTAGATTCTAGAATAGGTAACATTCTTGTTTCCTGTTATAATGTGTTACAAAACACAGATTTACTATTTATATCTTCAGTGCAGTAATAATAATGATAATGGTATTTATTTACTATTTATTATTTGTCAGACACAAATTATGTGTTTGGCACTCTGCTGTCCTTTCTACATGGATGATTTTATTTCATCTTTATAACCTTATGGTGTAGGTATGTTTGTTATCCCAGTTTAACAGATAAGGAAGCTGAGACAGAAAAGTCAGTAACTTGCTAAAGTCATGCAGCTATTAAATGGCAGAGCCTGGGCTCAAACATACAGCTGTAGAATTTCAGAGTCTGTATGTTAATCATTATGCTAAATTGTCTCTCTCAGTATCATACTCAGTTATTTATCTAAGTGTGCTTATTTTTTTAAAAAAGTCAATTGAGTAGTGATCTTATGAAATTAGTAAAATAAGTTTATGAGATATTCTGAATTCCCAGAAAGAATAACATAAGTAAAAAGTAAATATTATATATTCTGGGGATGTAAGCTAGAGAAAGTTGGGGAATAAAGGTTCAGGGTTTTTCAGCATTAGTAAAAGAAATTAATAGAATTTTATAATTAAGGAAGTTTATTTGAATTTAGTACAAATAAAATAAAATCTAATTGAAAGCATACATGAAATGTCTAGGCTTTGAGGAAAAGCAAAACAGTATTTTTCTTATTGTATTTGATGATATCTTATTATAATTTGAGCTATTGTCATAGGATTTATAAATTGAGCTGCCACATAGTATAATAATAACTTTTAGGAACCAGAAGGATTTTAGTGAAATGTCTGAAAACCTTACTGTGACAGCATTTGCACAAGAACTTTATTATTATAATGTGGTTGTTCTCCAAGACCAAGAGAATTTAGTTATTTGAAACAAAGAAAGTGATTTGTTTATTTCATTAATGAGACCCATATTACCTGTAAGATGGTTCTGTGGCACTTCAAAGTCATTGAGAATAAATCTCCAGTATATGTGTACATTATTCTTTTTGCACTTGTGTCTTTTTGTGCCATTTGAGAGCCCACTTACTAATTTTAAAAATGGACAGATGGCTGCATAGAGCTTTTGTACTACAAGAGAATTCTGACTTTTAACTATAAAAGCAGATCATCATTTTCTGTCTGTAGTCTATCTCTATCTCTATTGCCAGAACTGAGTATTTATATAGTAGTCTCCCCTTATCTGCAAGGGATGCCTGAAACTGTGGATAGTACTTAACTCTCTTTATACAATGGGGTTTTTTTATACATACATACCTATGATAAAATTTATCAGTTAAGCATAGTAAGATTGACAACAACAATAAATAGAACAATTATAACATACTGCAATAAAAGTTATGTGAATATAGTCTTTCTCTCTGTCTTTTTCAAAATATCTCATTTACTGTACTCAGCCTCCTCCTTGTGATCTGTCAAACCTGATAACCTAGACAGCTACTAAGTGATTAACGGGTGGGTAGCATATACAGCGTGGATACGCTGGACAGAGGGATGACTCACATCCTAGGCCGAACAGAGTGGGATGGCAAGATTTCATCATGTTATTCAGAATGGCACACAATTTCAAACTTACGAATGATTTATTTCTGGAATTTTCCCTTTAATATTTTCAGCCTGTGGTTGAGCATGAATAAATGAAACCATGGAAAGTGAAACTGCAGATAAGGGGGACTGTTGTACTACTGAAATGCCTAGAACTTTGGGAACTTATTTCACGATTTTATTATAGCTAGACAAAATTATTTTGGACTGAAGCGTTAGAACATCTGCTTAGAGCATATAATTATGCTTTGAAAATGTAGCATTTGACTGAAGGGTTGGACTTTAACATTTTCCTTATTTATGGTCATCTTCCCAAGTGACATTTGATGAGGTGAATAGGATTTGAGTCTAGACATATTTCCACTCACTGGGAGTGATTAAACATTTCAGGCACATAAAGGAATAAAGAGAATTGTTGATGAGATTTGCATCTTAATGATAAATAAACATAATTACCTCCCTAAAAAAAGATTAATAAAAAACAATCCTAAAGAACATAAGGAGAGAAAAGGAATCGTATATTAAATAGATAGCAAATAGTAACATAGTAGATTGAAATCCACGTTAGTAATCGTAATAATTGTATTAAATGTAAGGGACAAAATGGTCGAATAAAAAAGACAATAGCCAGGTATGGTGGCGTGCGCCTTGGGTCCCAGCTATTCAACAGGCTGAGGCTGGAGGATCGCTTGAGCCCAGGAGTTGAAGGCTGCAGTGAGCTATGATTGCACCACTGCACTGTAACCTGGGTCACAGAGCAAGAGACCTCATATCTAAAAACAAAAAGGGAAACTATTGTGCCAAGATGATTACAAAACAAAACAAATCTGATTGTTGCTTCTAAGAGACATACTTTAAATGTACACATACAGAATGGTTGAAACTAAAGTTTGACACTAATTCAAAGAATGCTGATACAATCATGTTATATCAGATAAAGTAGACTTTAAGGCAAAAAACATTACTAAAGAGGGGTATTTGCAAATAATAAATGGTTCAGTTTACAAAGTATATAAAATTCTGAATTTATATGTTTTTAATAACATCTCAAAAATGCAATACAATCAGTTGACTGAAATAAAAGGAGAAGTAGCCAAATCCATGGTCATAATGGGAAATTTTAACATTCCTCTTTCAGTAATTGGTAGGCAACGTAGAAGAAAAAAATCAATAAGGAATTAGAAAATTTTGAGCAACAGGATTAAGAGACTTGACTTAGGACACATGACCCAAGCAGCTAATCACATTTTCAAAAACTGAAATCAGTACATTTTCTGACCACAGTGGAATTTAGCTAGAAACCAATAATTTTATAAAAAACTAGGAATCTGTATAGGTTCGGAAAGAGTAAATCTCAATGGAAAGTAGAAAATATTTTGAACTGAAATATGATAATGAAAATACTATAAATGGAAACTTGTGGGATGTGGCTAAAGCTGTTAGAGGGAAATTTAGAGCCATACATACATATATTAGAAAAGAAAAAGTATTGAAAATTGATGAATTAAGTGTCACTCTCCAGAGGTTAGTAAAACAACAGCAAATTGAATGTAAAGAAAGTAAAAAAAAGTTTATCAGTAGGCCAGCTGGTGGCTCATGCCTGTAATCCTAGCACTCTGGGAGTCCGGATGGGAGAATCACTTGAGCTCAGATGTTGGAGACCAGCCTGAGCAAGAGCGAGACCCCATCTCTACTAAAAATAGAAAAAAATAGCCACAATTCACATTTAGAGGAACAATCTGCTTGGAATTGCTTTTTGGGTATAATGTGACTAAAGAGTCAAGTTTTATTTTTTTCCATAGCAATAACCAATTGACTCAGAAATAGTTTTGAAAAGATTATCCTTTGCCTATTGTTCTGCAATGATGGCTTTGTCATAAATCAGATGTTGCATCTATGCTTGCATCTGTTTCTGTTCTCTCTCTTCCATTGGCCTACTAAGACCACACTGTTTTATTCATTATGCTTTATAAACCTTAATATGCACTTTGTTCTTTAAGAATGTGTTGGATAGTCATGGCTCTGTGCATTTTCAAATGAATTTTAGTGTTTTGGGGGCCTATGGAATGGTGTCCCACTATCATTTAAATTTACACTTGCATCTACCCAAAAGAAAAAAAGACATTCTACAAGAAAGACATCTGCACTAGAATGTTAATAGCAGCACAGTTCACAATTGCAGAGATGTGGGAACAACCCCAATGCCCATCAACCAATGAATGGATTAATAAAGTGTGGTATATGTATACCATGGAGTTCTACTCAACCACAAAAAATAATGGTGATCTAGCACCTCTTGTATTATCCTGGATAGAGCCCATTCTACTAAGTGAGGTATCACAAGAATGTACTCACCATCAAATTGGTATTAATTGATCAACACTATGTGCACATATATTAGTAACATTCATCAGGTGTTGGGCAGGTGGGAGCAGGGAAAAGGGGATGGGTATATTCACACCTAATGGGTGTGGTACGCACCATCTGGGGGATGGACACTCTTGAATCTCTGACTCAGGTGGGGCAAAGGCAATATACGTAACCTAAACATTTGTACCCCTGTAATATGCTGAAATAAAAATAAAAATAAATAAATAAATAATTTACAGTTGCATGATTGCCAGCATCTTTTTATAGGACTTTTGGCCATCTGAAAACTTCTGACAGTTCAAAACTGTCTCACATTTTTCTCATGTTATCTTTTTCTTATTGATCTATAGGAGTTCTTTATATATTCTGCATAAAAGATTTTTGTTGTTTATATGTGTTGCAAATGGTATCTCTCACTTTGTGCTTGCCTTTTTGCACTCTCTCTCTCTTTTTTTTTTAAGACAGAGTCTTGCTCTGTCACCTGGGCTAGAGTGCTGTGGCGTCATCATAGCTCACAGTAACCTCAAACTCCTGGGCTCAAGCAATCCTCCTGCCTCAGCCTCCCAAAGTAGCTGGGACTACAGACATGTGCCACCGTACCCGGCTAATTTTTTCTATTTCTAGTAGAGACAGGGTCTCCCTCTTCGCTCAAGCTGATCTCGAACTCCTGAGCTTGAGCAATCCTGCTGCCTTGGCCTCCCACAGTGCTAAGTGAGCCACCATGTCTGGCCCTTTTTGCTCTCTCAATGGAGTCACTTGATGAACACAAGCTCCTAATTTTAATGTAGTCACATATTTAGGCTTCTCTGTATGCTTTTAACCTGTCTTTTGTAGGGGAAAGAATACTGACATACCTAAGATTCTGCTTGAGTAAAATGAAAATTTAATTTTAATCATTCTGTCTTACTTATAACTGGTATTCATTTTGTAGCTGTGGATTTCTTCAATCAGATCAACATGCTTTATGGAACCATCACAGACTTCTGTACAGAAGAGAGTTGTCCAGTGATGTCAGCCGGCCCAAAGTAAGACATGGTCAATGATCTGTTCTCATTTTTCCTTTATTTATGGTTCTTAGACAGGAAGAAGGTCTGACCACATAATTTCTCTACTTAGCATCTCTTTTGGTGGTTTGCCAGTGACTCATCTCTTATGTCCAGATTCCTTGTCTTGAGCTTTATGATGCTCCCTGTATCTTGTTCCCTCCTGCCTTTCCTCTGTTCGTATGTGTCTTCCTGGTCTATCCAAACTAGATAACTGGAAGTACCTTGCTGTTGCCTCCATTACTTACACTGTCTGAGAGCTCGCTTATTATGTTCTCTTGGATATTTTTCTTCTCTTCCGTTTCCCTTGTGTCATCTTCTGTTAGTATTTTAAAAAATCTTACTCATCTCCAACACCCATATCACATGCTTCTTCTGATTTCTTTAGACTAGATGTGATCTTTCTACTTAATTTTTTTCACCATTATAATGTTCCATTATACTTCTTAATACTGTTTATACACGTCTTACTTAACCTGTTAGATTTATTTTTCTTTTAAACCCCTTTTGGTGTAAGGACAGAGCCTGCCACCTAGTTAACATCCAGTGAATGTGGGTTGAATCAGTACAGTTTTGAAGCTGGCTTTTATTATTACTATTACTAATAATAACAATGACAGCTACCATTTATTTAGTGCTACTTAAATGTAAGGCATTTCGTGCATTATACCTTTTACTTCCTACAGCAACATTCATCACAAAAATACTGCTCCATACATTGCCATGGACTCAGAATTTAGTCAAATGATGAAAGAGCTCCTAACAGAATTATAAGAGCTCAGGAAGGTTCTGGTGATACCACATAAGGCGGTAAAACATATGCTGGCAATTCTCAGTATAGAAAAAGAAGACCACACTAGAGAGACAAAGCCGTGTCTGAACTTTCACTTCTTTCTAGCACATGGAGAAGCGTAGCTGCAGAGCTATGCAAAATTCACACCCTCTCCATTCCCTGCCTTCTTATAGACAGACTTCTTCCTGCAGAGGTGCGTTCTGTGATTTTTACCCCTCAGGGGACTGTTCACTTTGGAGAAATGTCCCTTGTGGACTTTGTTTGAGGTTTGTAGTTGTAGATGTGTCTTTTGTTCTCCCCTCACCCTGTTTGAACTTACATGAATTTAAGTAGCATGTCCCTTTTAAAGCTAGTCAAGGTAGTCCTTTTTTAAAAATATTGTGGTTTAGAGACACAGATGTTTCCCAGTTTTATCAAAGTTAGAGTGTGAATTTCTGTTACTTGTTATTTTGGGAAGATTACTTAGAGGAAAGGGGGACATTTAAAAATGACATCCCCTTTTAGTATTACTGTATTCTTGTTAGTATAACTGGTATTCACTTGGGATGTTTAAGTTTCATTTGCGAAAACAGATGTTTTAAATTTTGCTATTATGTGGTTAGTTATGCATTGAGAAATCAGATAGCTCTGGCTTCTAAGACAGCAAGTTCCTCTGCCTTTACTTGAGGGCTGTGGTTGTCTCTCTGCTGCCGTTTGTGTGCATGCATAACTTTAAAGCCATAGCTGGCCTCCTTCCTGCATGCCTGTCTGCCTCCCTCCCTTTCTCTTCTTTCTTCCATCCTTCCTCCTACTCCCTCTTCCTTCTCCCTTTCTTCCTTCCCTCCCTCCACTTCTCCTCTCCTTCCCCTTCCCATCCACCTCCCCTCCCCTCCCCTCTTCTCTCCCCTCCTTTTACTTCCCCTCTCTCCTTCATTCCTTCTTTTTTTAGGAGTCCTGACGCCTTAGTGCTGAGAAGATGTGGTTGTCATGGTTCTTCAACTTTACCAGCAGTTGCAGGATTGTGCCAAGGAGAGGCGTTTGTTTATACTTAGCACTGGCCCCTTGCAAAGTGGTTTTGAATGATGGCTCATAGGACTTTGTTCTGAGTTACTGTTTATTATTATTAAAAAAGAAATGGTGACTATTTTGGAGTTTGCATTTTACAAGCTCATACTGTGATGACAGAAATAAATTTCAAAGAGAATGGTCTGTCAAAGGTGGAATAAAAAAAATAAATGGGGACAAAATGGAGCTACAAAATGAAGAAAGTGTAAACATGACAAAAAGAAAAGATCATGGAATTATAGTTGTGAACTCTAGAGGGCTAAGCAGTATATAGTTATTTCTCAAAAAGCCTTACGATATTGAAAGTTGATATTTTTAAAAAACACTTCAGGATATTGAAAATGATTCTTGGGTTTACTATGTCTGCTTTTGATTTTGACATTTAAAAATGTATGTGAAACACCTGAAAATAATTAAGATGAAAAACATGATTGTGAGGGAAGGGTAAAAATGTTAAGGTTTCAAAAATGTTAAGGTTTCTTAACATAAAGTAGAAAACATGGATGAATCCCTGTGTTTTAAGAGCATTGATGGTTTAAACCTACCATTTGTGGTCTCTGTCTCCTAAGAGGAGCAAACAGGAAGAAATAGCCTTAAATCACACTCAGGACTTTAGTTTTATATTAGGAAGAATCTCTTTACTGTGAAGGTGATTAAACAATACCACAGGATACCAAGAAGTGTTGGGAAATCTCCCCTTGGAGACCTTCAGAATGACCTTGACAGTAGTCCCTGTTGCTCAGGGTTGGCAGTCAGGGCCGCCACCAGAGTTGTGTTCAGGTGTGCCCTGTTCCGTATTATTGTTCAGGTGTAAGTGGTTCTGATTAAATATAAAGCATCTTATTTATCCTATTAGAAGATAAATTTTTGTCACTTAAAATACCCTGTAGTATTTTTCCATTATATATTCTGCTTTCTCCTTTGCCAGGGTCACTAACCTATCATTGTCAGTCCAAACTTTGGAGACAAGATTAGAAAAACACAATTGGTTAAAAGAGAGAAGTCGAGCAGTGGACGTAACCTTTTGGAAACTAAGAAACTAAATGCTACTTCAGTTTAGAGATTTTTATACTTTGGAATTTGAGCTGTATTGCTTATTTCTTACCTTAAAATTCACTGTGTGTGTGTGTGTGTGTGTGTGTGTGAGACTAAGTAACTCTTTTAGGGTTCTTGCTTTTTTGCTTTTAATTTTTATTTTATTTTTGTTAAATAATTGTACATGTTCATGCAGTACATAGTGATGTTTCAGTACGTATAATGTATGGTGATCAGATCAGGGTAATTAGCACATCTGTCATCTCAAACATTTATTATTTGTGTTGAGAACATTCATTATCTTCCTTCTAGCTATTTGAAACTATGTAATACGTTATTGTTAACTAAAGTCATCATACAGTGGTACTGTACACTAGAACTTAATTGCTCTTCCTATCTAGCTCTGATTTTGTATTCTTTAACAAATCTCTTCCTCTCCCTCCCTTTCTCTTGCCCTTCCCAGCCTCTAGTATCCTGTGCTACTTTTTACTTCTGTGAGACCAACGTTCTTTAGTTTATCTGTTGTTAGACATCTAGGTTGATTCCATATCTTGGCTATTGTGAATAGTGCTGCAGTAAACAAGGGGGTGCAGACGTCTCTGTGATATACAGACTTCCTTCCTCTCTTAGTGTTCTTATCATACTGTTTTACTTGTTCGTTTTCAAGACTGTCTGTTCTGGTAGTCTTTCTCCTTGAGAGTAGGGGAAGTGTCTTTCATTTTAGTGTCCCTTATTCTTGACATAGTGTCTCTCCCATGGTAGATGCACATTAAATGTTTATTAAATCAAAGGATGGTATACTGCTAATACCCAAAATCTACAGGCATCTGTATTTGGGTTGCCAGTTTTTGTTTTTGTTTTTGTTTTTAGAGACAGAGTCTCACTCTGTCACCCAGGCTAGAGTACAGTGGCCAGATCATAGCTCTCTGTAACGTCAAGCTCCTGGGCTCAAGTGATCCTCCTGCCTCAGCCTATGTGTAGCTGGACTATAGGCATATGCCGCCATGCCCAGCTAATTTTTTTTTATTTTTAAATTTTTTGTAGCAATGGGGTCTCACTATGTTGCCCAGGCTAGTGTGTAATTCCTGGGCTTAAGCATCCTACTGCCTCTGGCCTTTCAAAATGCTGAGTATTACAGGTATGAGCCATCCCACGCAGCTGGCTAATTTTCTTTAAAGACATTGTTTAGCTCTTCAGCCAAATATACTCAAGTATTATTCTCTTTTTCATTAATCTTATTTTGTGGCTTCCATGTCATTCTCTGTCCTTAACCCAAAATTTAAAGGCCTGAGTTAAAAAAAATATGTGCTAAATAAGGAGAAATTTTTTTTTTTTAATGATAGAGTCTCACTCTGTCACCCTGACTAGAGTGCAGTGCACTGCAATCTCAAACTCCTGGGGTCAAGAGATCCTCCTGCCTCAGCCTCCCAAGTAGCTGAGACTACAGGCACATGCCACCATGCCTGGCTATTTTTTTCTATTTTTAGTAGAGCAGGGTCTCACTCTTGCTCAGGCTGGTCTCGAACTCCTCACTTCAAGCGATCCTCCTGCCTTGGCCAGTCAGAGTGCTGGGATTACAGGCATGAGCCACCGTGCCTGGCCAGAGAAATGGTTTTTAAGGAAGAAAAACAACTGTGAAGTTTAAAGATGGTCATAATAGAACTGGGAAGTAATCTAGTTTTTCTACTACAGTAATGTGTGATTCTAAAATATAAATGCTATAAATGAGAGAAAACTATATAAGAAAATTCAGACACATGAGGAAAGCATAGAAATACAAAACATGAATTTAATGGGATCTGCTTAATTTGGATTGTGATAAATGCAAAACAATCCACTGACAAGTTAAAAATTCATCTTTATTTGAAGGAACAGAGTGTTTGAAACATGTCTGTATATATTCATAGTACACGTACATATTAATATAAAAATACATACATGTATATGTATATACTGATACTTTGTGTTTTTCTTTCCAATGCAGATATGAGTATCACTGGGCAGATGGGACAAACATAAAGAAGCCTATTAAGTGCTCTGCACCAAAGTATATTGATTACCTGATGACTTGGGTTCAGGACCAGTTGGATGATGAGACGTTATTTCCATCAAAAATTGGTATAATTATTTTATGTAATTGGGATTCATCTTGATTTATCTAATTTTATATGTTTCTAGAATTGTTCTCCCTCCTCCTGCACTATCTAGTTGGAGAGTTCTTTAGGGCTGTGTTGATGTGTGTATATGTTATGCAGTTCACAAGAAGAGGCACAAAAGTTTGTTAACACAGGAGAAAAATAAGCAAGCTACCCTGTGTGAATTGAGGTTAGCCTTCCGGATAGCTGGGACTATAGGCACATGTCACCACACCCGGCTAATTTTAAATTTTTTTGTAGAGAGGTCTCACTATGTTGTCTAGGCCGGGCTTGAACTCCTTGCCTCAAGTGATCCTCTTGCCTTGGCTTCCCAAAGTGCTGGGATTATGGGAATGAGCCACTGGGCCCAGCCAACATTGATGCTTTAGAATAGTGCACATTATTTTCTAGAATGTCCTTTGAATTTGGTTTGTCTTATGTTTCCTTGTGACCTATAATATTTTAAAAAGAGCAGTAAGCAACGTGATGACACTAAACCTAGTAATACTAGTATTTGGATATGGGATTTTGTACATTTTTATAAAATAAATTGTGTATTTAAGGTAAATATCATGATTTTATGAGATACATTATAGTAAAATGGTTACTGTCGTGAAACAAATTAACATATCCATCATCTCATGTAGTTGCCCGTTCCCCACCGACCGACCACCGTGGCAAGAGCAGCTAATTGACTCACTTAGCAAAAATCTTGAATGCAAGACACTATTCTTAACTGTAGTCCTCATGTTGTACATTAGGTCTTCAGACTCGTTCATCCTGTATACCTGCTACTTTGTATTCTTTGACCTGTATCTCCCCCAGCCCCCAGTAACCACTGTTGTATTCTCTATCTCTATATATTTGACTTTTTTTTTTTTTTAATAAACATTCCACATGTAAGTGAGGTCCTGCAATATTTTTCTTTTTTTGTCTGGCTTATTTCACTTAGCATAATGTCCTTCAGGTCCAGCCACGTTGTGGTAAATGACAGGACTTCCTCCTTTTTTAAGGCTGAATAATACTCCATTGTGTGTATGTGTGTGTGTGTGTGTGTGTGTGTGTGTGTGTGTGTGTGTATTTGTGTGTGTAAGAAATACTACAGTTTCTTTATCCATTCATTTGTTGATGGACACCTAGGTTGTTTCCATATCTTGGCTATTGTGGATAGTGCTGCATTGAATATGAGAGTGCAGGTATCTTCACAGTGTGGTGATTTCATTTCCTTTGGGTGTATACCCAGAAGAGGGATTGCTGGGTCGTATGGTAATTCTATTTTTAATTCTTTTTAGGAACCTCCATACTGTTTTCCATAATGGCTACACCAATGTATTTTCCCACCAGTGGTGTACAAGAGTTCCCTTTTCTCCACAGTGATTTTGTATTTTTCTAGTTTTGTATTTGTTTAATGCTGTATCGGTGCTTTAATTTACAAGCAGCCTAATTGAGCAGAGAATGTAGCTAATTTCAGGACACATGTAGACCTGGAGCAGTAATAATTTCCATAGAAAAAAATAATAAAATGTATTATAAGCATTTTAAGTAAAACTGAACATGGTTAATGCATTATTTGTGTTAAGCACATATTTGTATTGAGACTTAATGGTAAGAAATCCGAGGATCTGAGTGAGTTTTTAGCTCCACTACCATCTTAGGTGTTTGTTTCATTTTAGTAAAATGCTCGTATGATAGAGGCATAACAGGCTATAACGAAGCTTTTATTTCATAAAAGCTTTGAAGTTTATTTTCGTTCATATGCTGAGAACTTCTGAAAGGTATGATGGGTATATCAGATAGTAATTGGTAAATACTACTTCTTTTCATCCTTGTCTTGGTTATTTATGTTGCCATTTGCTGACAAACTTACATTACCTTGTTCTTGTCTCTTGTTAATAAAGGGGGCTATCTCTTTACCAGGTGTACCGTTTCCGAAGAATTTCATGTCTGTGGCAAAAACTATACTCAAACGCCTCTTTAGGGTTTATGCCCACATTTATCATCAGCATTTTGACCCTGTGATCCAGCTTCAGGAGGAAGCACATCTCAATACATCTTTCAAGCACTTTATTTTTTTTGTCCAGGTAAGTTGGATTAGGAGGCCTTTCAGGCTTAGTGCAAGCATTTATCTTCAGAGTTCTAAGGTGAACACTGCAGCCACACTGTCGGGATAGAATTGGATACATCTCTGCAGTCTGCATCTCCTTCTGTACTTTCCACGATGATAAGGCCTGACCTTTTGATTCCGAAATTGATTAGTCTCCAAGTTGATGACATGCAAGGATAAAATGGATTTGAGAGGTCTTGCTTTGGATTTGCGTCAGTTAACAGGCCACACTTAGGGGCTGAAGAAGGAACCTGAGTCATTTGGTAGATCTATAGGAAAACTTGGTCACTTGAACATTTCAGTACTTCTCCCACTCCCCTTCACCCCTCCACTGCTATCTACCCTGGATCTTTATTAGCAGACTCTGGTCTGGAAACGGACCTTGAATATCACATCCTTTTTTCCCCCTTCTTTTTAAAAATTTTTAATTATTATGGGTATATCATAGTTACATATCTTTATAGGGTACACATTATGTTTTGATACAGGCAAACAATGTGAATTAATCAAATCAAGGTAATTGGGGTATCCATCACCTCAGACATTCAACATTTCTTTGTGTTAGGAACATTCCAGTTCTACTCTTTTAGTTATTTTAAAGTATTCCCTGACTTATTGTTGATTGTAGTCACTTTGTTGTGCTATCAAATATTGTTCATTCTGTCTAACTATATTTTTGCACCCATTAACCATCCCCACTTTATCTGCACCTCCCTGCTACCTTTCCCAGGCCCTGGTAACCATCATTCTACTCTCTGTCTCCATGAGATCAGTTGTTTTTACTATTTAGCTCCCACATAGGAGTGAGAACATGCAAGATTTGTCTCTCTGTGTTTGGCTTATTTCACTTAACGTAATGTTCTCTAGTTCCATCCATGTTGTTGCAAATGGCAGGATTTCATTCTTTTGTGGCATATAATATTCCACTGTGTATATGTACCACAATTTATTTTTTCCCCTTCTTTTAAAAACCATATTCTAAATAATTTTTAAGTTAGGGACTGTCCATCATGTCAGAGGGAAAAAAAAATTATGAAGAGTGCTTCTATGCCAGAGATCCATTAGTTTTTGATCTGCACTCCTAGTTGACCTCCCCTTTGTTTAGTCCTCCAAGAACTGGCCTTCAAAATGTAGACTAAGAGCAGTGAGAATATTCTCACCCTGCTGTAATAATTTGAGAAGTAACAGGCAAAAGTGAAAAGGAGGTGGAAATGAATGGATGAGCTGACCAGCTTGCTTTTTCTTTTTTTCTTTCTTTTTTTTTTTTTTTTGGTGGAGGATGGAGAGATGGTGGTCAGAAGCCCAAGGCTTGAGTATATATCCACAGGCATATATTTATAAATACCTTCTCCGCTTCCCATCTCCACTAAAGAAAATGTGTTCTTTTTCCCTCTATACACACTCCTGACACTGAAGGCACACACTTTATGTCTCAGTTTCACTTACGAAAACACATTTTTGGAGGTTGTAACTTGCCAGTATTGTTGCTCTGAATAATTACCTTACTGTGGTATTCCACCTCCAGACCTATAGGAGCTAAAAGGATGTTATCCTAAAATTTGCATCTGTTTTGGTTTAGACAGAACGTGATTACTAAAGTTCATGTTTTGCCGGGGTAGGAGAGTATATTTTCCTTCCAAAAGGGTTATTTTTACTTTACTCTGTGATCTTAGAGTACACTGTTTCCCAACTCCTAGCAAATAGTAGGGGATCAGTACATAGCATTTACCACATCTCATTCTATCTACATCTCAGAACACTGTGAGCTTCTTAAAAGTAGGTCCCTTAGTGATATAGTATCACCCTTTGAGTAAGAGGGGCACCTGTTCTGGGCCCCACAATGTGGAGAATCCTGCTCTGGCCCTTATGTAGCTACAGCCCTCTTCACAGAGTGAGGAATCCACAGGCCAGAAACATATCTACTATATCCCTTCTGATGCATGCTTGGGTATCCGAGACCCCAGAATTTCCTGCCCACATGGTCCCAAGTGTATTTCCAGGGTCTCCATGGATCTTTTCCTGGGGTCTGTTCTTTTGAGGGCAGGTCATATCTCTCATTATGTTATACTTCTAGGCCTGAGGGGTAGCCACATGGCTGCTGTTTTTGAGGGCAGGTGGATATCACCCATGCATGTCAGGGAAGGAGTCCATACTCATGTGCGTGAGACCTTTTGAGGTGCAGCGTGGAGTGGGTCGAAAGAGCAGGAAGGTTTGCTGAGGCCCAGGGACCTGGGCTGGCTGTCCTCCTGTCACTACTTTCGAGTGCAGAATCCTAAGGAGTCTTGAGAATTCTATATTTGAATCTGCTTTCTGGTCACTATGAAGGTGTATTTGTCAGGGTAGGAGGACAGAACATGTTTTATTTAACAACATACTAGCTTAACGTAAAATTTAATAATTTAGTCACATGATCCATCCATTTATGTTCTTTACCCAGACCCTGAAAATCTTAGGGGTGGACCTTCTGTTAAATGCCCCCTAGTGTTTTTCCCCAGTACTTATTGTGGTGCTTGGCACATAGTGGATGCTAAAAAATGAATTAAGTTGGGAGTTGAGAATGCCTCGCCATGGCAGAAGATAAGAAGTGTAGATGGCCTCTCTGAGCCTTACAATATGCAGAAGTGAACTTAGAATGACAGAGGTGGAACTTCTAAAGAATCACAAACTAAATCCAAGCTTTCTCATTTGTTCTTTCTAAGATTTTAATTTAACACTTGTGGATGACACCTTATTCATGTTATTCTCATATCATATTGTATGATAGCCTGCACATATATTAGTTTATAACCAGGCTTCTACTCTTCATATAATGCTCAAGTTTGCCTGAGGTGCTAATTTTTTTTTGATCCCTACTTGGTTGACTATAGTTAAATGGTGCCCAGGTTATTCCTTTCAACAAGAAACAGCAACTCCTATTTATTGTTACTTTGTGCCGGGCATTACATGAAGTGGTGAACATCCAGTATTACAGTAGCCCCCACAATAATTTTATGAGGTAGAGGGATTCATCCTCATGTGACAGATGTAAAAACATAACATCAGGAGTAGCTAAGTGATTTGCCCAAGACTCAGAGGTAGCGAGTAGAAAAAAAATCAAATCTACTTTTGTTTACTTCAAAAGCTAATTTAACACATGTTAATGGTAATCTGCTTTGGAGTGAGATGCAAATAATGTTTTTGCTCTGCCTTTCTTTATCATGCATAGGAATTCAACCTTATTGATAGAAGAGAACTTGCACCACTCCAAGAACTGATTGAAAAACTCACCTCAAAGGACAGATAAAAGGATGCAGAGCTGTGCAAGTTCCTCAAATGAAGCAGTGTGGAGTATATTTGGGTTTTCATTGTATTTTGTTTTTATCTGGATTATTTTTGTCTTAGGTTTGGGAGGCTTGTTTGGGTTTCTTTTTCTTTATTCCGAATACATGAAACCATATTCTGTTGTCAGAGAAAGCCTAGAACCATTATCTATACATTTGATTGGGGTAAATTTTGACGTAGTGGCACATAGTATTTTTTTTTTAACTTCGTTTTGGTTACTTGAGGAGTTTTTAAATAATATTGTGTGCTGAAAGAAAATGCTTATTGATTGAACTGCTGATGAATGAGGTTCTTTGTTGTGTAAATTGTGGCCCATTTTGAAGTCCCCAAAAGACTTATGTTTTTAAGTGCCTTGGCAGGCTCACTTCTGAGGTGCAAAGCACAGATACAGAACTGAACAGGGCTTGAAACAATATTAGGATTACTATCCAGGGCACTTACTGGTGCATGTTGTAAAATATCTATGACAAAAGCCATAGTTTACCTAAATTGGTGATCTCCAGCTTTTACTATTTGGAAGAAACATAATTTGTAAAGGTATGCATGTAGAACAGAAAAAATTAATCTTTCTTAATTATTTTTGATATCGACAGTAATATATTCTGTTCAACAGATGCTTTAAGTTCTACAAGCAGGTCTTTTTCCATCTCTTGATATCTGTGATATTGAAATTTGAGGATGTTGAAATGTAATAACCTATTGCATTTTGGCTTCTTTCTACATGTTAACTGCACTGTAGGTGTAAAAATTCAGGTTATATATATAGGATTGCCATCATCAGAGGTGATGCTGAACTGTGAGGTTTCTTAGCAATTGCCAAATGAGCCATAAGTCTGCAGAATTCCCTTCTACTTTGAGGAGGAGGGGATAGGAGTGTGTGTTTGGGTTGGGGGGAGGTGTTAGTTTATATGGGGAGTTAGGGAAGGAATTAAGTATGGAAAGTCAAGTTCTAGAAAGTCCTGTCTTAAAACCCTTGAATAGAATGGCATGAAGATTTTAGTCAATGACTTACGAACAAAGTCTTAGAGACTTCTTTTTAGGAATCAGCTTCCATGAGAAGTTAAAAATAAATTAATAATTTTAGGTATAGACATTAAACATAGAATATAAGGACTGTTTGGGGAAATTGATCACTTTTTAACATTTCCATTCAGTGAATGGAGCTGGTGTTTGGCTATCATTTTGAAATGATACAGTACCTTCTTTACTTATTATAGGTTCCAATTTGAAGCATTCTGACTTCTGATTTTTCCACTGTGAAAGGACATCTTTTTCTCTGTAGTGATATTAAACAATGATAATGCTAATTAAGTAGTTATTAACTTTTAAATTTTATTTGCCATGACTTTCTAGTGAATTATTAACATAAGTAACAAGTTCAGAAACTTAGTTTTTAGAATAAATATAATTAATTATTTTCGCTTCAGTTTTATTCTTTATTTTTAGTTCTGATTTTGTCATTTCTGGTAAATCTGCTTTCTTCAGTTAGAATTATATCCCTTTCTTTCAATTGAAACATAGACCTATTTTCCTTGTAGAATACAAATGCTTGCTCTGAAATTTGTATAGATTAAAAGCACTTAATAGAAAAGAAGAATCTAAAATGAAATCAATTTGTTTTTGTCGTTAACAAGTAGAACAGTGATACAATTTAATGCCATTACAATTATGACCACTAGGAACTGCCTTTTTCTCCATTCCATTCCTAGCAATTATTCACCAAGTACCAACAATGGAGGTAACAGGAGAGCCTGGCAGAGACAAATGTATTGGGACATTTGTTGGTAAAGCTTATTTCTAAACTGTAGCGAGAGCTAGTTGATTTCCTTAAATCTTTTAGTATCCAGGTAGATAATATGAACCACTATGGGTTAATTGAGAAACAAAATTGGTGTCAAGTAATTCTAAGTCTTATCTATATAGAAAAATGAAGCACACGATTACTCAAATAGTCTTCCATAGTGCATTTGACTTCATATCAGTCTAGTAACAAAGGGGTTGCAATAGCTAAGTGTAAAGAGAATAGTGACAAATTGTTGTTTCTCTTTTAGGCCTTACACAGTAGTACACTGTAAAAAATGGATAAATGTTTCTATAAATTAATGTTTAGTAGTAGGCCCTACTTTCCCATTGTCTTCACTGTGCCAGAATCTCAGGTGCCTGCTGTATTTCTTTAATCAGAGTGATTGGAAAATAAGGAGATGTGTATATATGGTAACAAAGTATAGACATTAACTGGGGGAGAGGCCTGGCATTGTACCTGGTGTTACATGGCTACAAGTAAGGAAATAACAGAGAGTATGAGAAAGAACTGATCTAATAAAGAGGTGATTTGATTTGATTGGTTCCCATGAGAGTTAGTAAGATGCCTTTTTAACAATAAGAATACAAACTTGGTTTTGCAGCAGAGTTTGCTTATAAATGTGTATTGTATTCTTTTTAGATTTCTTTATTTAATTTGTAAATAACCAAGTAATTATTTTCCCCTCAGAAGTTCGTTTTTTCATCCTTTGTTAAAAGCATCCCATAAAATATAAAGTACTAACATAGTGTTATTGTCATTCACAATGCTTTGGTTAAATGTTAATATGAAGCAAGTTTTTGGAATTATTTTAAATGATGGAGAAAAAGTGGTGGTAGAACGAAATTAATAACAGTGAAAATCTTTTAGTTAGCAGTAGATGGTGCTACTAGCTTTCATTTGCTGACTTGATTATTCCCTTTCCCATAAAAACCATGGCTTTAGACTACACTAAACAAGCATGTTTCAGTTAGCTGGTAGAGACTTTGGAGGTCAATTTACCTTAAATCGAAAGATTTTAGATTGCTGTCTCTTTCTACTTTCCCTCTGTTATTCATTTATAAATTCTAAATGGTCAGCATAAAATGTATTAGGTCAAAGATATGTTTAATGCATAATATATCTAAGACTTGAGTTACTGCCCAGCTTATCAGGTTGGATAAAACACTACATTCTCTTATCAAGAAATAGAGATGATGTGTATATTTATATTTTACATATATAATCACCAGACTCCATTTTATGTGTTAGCATTTTCCTTGCTTATGGGAAAATAGGAAAATAACATTTCCTTTATATTTTTGTCTACACCCTCTCTGAGAGAGGTTTGGATTACCACGGAAATGGTAGAATATATGAGATACAGATATTAAGTTGTAGAACTTTCTTTTAAAATCAGTATGTCATACCTTAACATCCAAATGAGAGTTATCTTGAGAGTGATTCACTTGGGAGCCCTACTTATTCCACCCATGCTGGCAAAGTGTGATGTTTTTGGAACTCTTTTAGAGATGCCATGGGAATCAGTTTGTGACTATGCAAGAAAATCAATTTCATCATTTTAGTTCCACCAAAAACGTTTTTGGCAGCTTAATATGGCCTATCTTCATCACCAAACCAAGTGTAATCATTTGGCTGTTGTCTCAGAACTAAACCACTAGGGAAGTTCAAAAGAATGTTGCATGGGCTTAAAATTTACAGAAGAGCATGTTTTAAGCATTGGTGGCATCATTGAATAAAGGAATAGTTTCTAATGTCACTATTTTGAAGTGGATAGTATCATTGGATGTGTAGGTTTTATTTTTTTTTAAAAATCAGTTTAATTACTTTCCAGTTAAATACATTAATTAAAAAAAAAAAACCAAGGTCTTTCTCTAGAACTTGTTTTCTATTTTGTTCCTTTTCCTGAAAATGTTTCAATTTTATCTTAACTACTATAGTTTTGGTTGAATGGATATTGTGCAAAAATGAATTCAATATTTAAGATACAAATTAATTTAAGGAAACCACAGCCTTTATACCTCTATCCTTTTTTTTTTCTTTTTTAAGAAAAAAATGTTTTTACTCAGATGAACGATTTGACTTTGATTAACGACTGGGGATTATTATACAAAGAAATTGGAATAAGTTTTATATATTAATTATGCTGAGTTTTAAGCCTACATATCACAAAATATTTAGAATTGTATAACCATTTCATATATCATCTATAACTTCAAATTTTTAATGTCTTTTGAAAAGATGTGGGACCAAAAGAATATTTATAATTTGCAAATACGACTGCATACCAGTAAGAAAACTTATTTTGAAACTTATCTGGGGTAGGAGAGAATATACCAATTCTTAGAAACACAGATCTATACTTCAAGGACCACTCGATAAGATAATTTAAATATCTGAGTTTTGTGATAATGTTAAGATTTACCATAGGAATCACTGTTGTTCATCTATCAGCTTAATTGTGGGAATTGATCAATGTTTAGAGGTAAAGGTATGTCAAAATTTAATGGAAAGGTTTAATTTGAAGATGTAACAGAAATTCTGATGGCAGATGATTTGAATGTTTAAGGCTTTCCTAATAAACGAATCACAAAGAATTCATTTTGAAGTTATAGAACTACGCTTTACATCTGTCAGTCATAACTGAACTGATTTACATTTTGACAAAAGAGAAAATACAGATTAAAATGTTGGGTACTCTCAGTTTTGTAAGTGTAATGTAAGTTTCTTTTTCTTCATATAGAACTATATAATAGAAAACTTTGGATTACAATTCTCAAAGATAGATAGTAAAATCATTGGCCTTTTCCAGCTGTATGTTTTCCCACCCTCCCATCCCCCATGTGGGTGCTCGTGTGAGCTCACACATACACACACACGTTTAAAAACAAAGCAGTTAGGTTAATTTTGCAGGTTTTTATTGTTAAGAGATTCTGAAGTACTTACTGTTAATACATAAGTTTCAGTTTGTTTTGGTTGACAGCTTTCTTTAAATTATGTCACTAAAGCTGAGATTATTAATGATAGAAAGTTAAAATTTTTATGAATATTTAATTTCTCCTTCATATATTATTAATATTAACGTCTTATAGGTGGATGTTTCTTAAAGTTTTGCACAGTTTTTATTTTTATTTTGTTTCTGAAATAATTGTGCAGGTTGTAAAATAGATTAGTGTATTTTGATTTTAAGAACACTTTTCTCCTTAAATTATTCTGCAGAAATGACTATTTTTAGGGAAAATAGTTTTTTACAGCCACTAAATTGTATTTGTTATTTTTGTACATGCATAACCAGGGTGGTGAAGGCACTAATCTTGTAGAGAACACTTAGTTTTGTTCTAGTTGCACTTTTCCTGTATACATTTATTACTTAAAATTACCACTAGGAACAGTGTCATGAAATCTGGGTTGAGAGAGAATACCATATATATGAGAACACTTAAAAGGTTGAATTGAAATCATGTCTGAAGACAAAAGCAGAGGAATACTGCCATTGCCAAGTAATGGAAGCATAAGGGCAGATTTACACTGCAAGTATTGAAGAGAAGCATGAAGGGGGGAAATTGTCTTCTGAGATAGGAAATTCAACATGGGCGCTATATTATAACCTATGCCAAGATAATGCAAATTGTAGTTCTTGATCAAAGTTTAATTGCTTCATCATTTTTATTTTAAAAGGGAATGCTGAATGTCAGAAAATCTGTAATATGTTTTATTTGGAAGATGTAAATAATGTATACATACTTGTATGTGATGGGATGGGAAATATTTAAATTCTAGGTTTTTGGTTTTTTTTAAGGAAGAAACTGAATGAATGTTTATAAGGAAAAAATTAATAAATAGTTATGTTTGGCCATGAATCCTGACTTTGCATTACTTTTTATTTTTGCCATAGGTAGTCCCAAACTAAACACATTCCAAGGGAAATATTGATGGGATATGTAATATGTTGAATATTTGAAATTTGTTAGGCGTTATTTTCTGTAATGTTCACAACCACCCTGGAAGTTAGTATCAGTGTCTTACATACTAGAAAATTAAAGCTTAGAAATTATATATGGTATTAATTAAGACTAGGGTTTAAAAACTCAAATATGCCTGAACTTGAAGCCAATGTTTTTTTTTCATTAATATATACTAATACAATGAGAATAGTCAGAAAAATAATGAATTAATCATTTGTTGACCTTTCCATTCAGCTGTTATCTAATATTGTCTTCATTATAAATCATTAAGGAATATTAACAAACAATATTGGAAAATTATTTACCCTGATGCCTAAATTCCAAAAAGAAATGTGTATTTTAGAACTATTCTCAGAGTATCATTATTTAGAGGCATTTATGTTAGAGGCATTTGTGTTTGGACCTTCTGGTTGAGAATATTTAATGGTAGTAGCCACAGTTGCTCAAAGTCATTAATGGTATTTGAGGAGAAGACTAGGAGTTAAAATGCTTGTCCATGCTGATATGGACTGTGTCTGCCTGCTTTAAAAATGCCTTGTTACTTTGCACGTACAGTATTTACAAAGCATCTACTGTATGTAAAGAAATAACGCACACATTAAGTATATTTTGATAATTAGGTTTATTTACGTCCATTGTACTGAATGTAAATTATTAATTCCTCATATAATATCTGGAATGACGCATTTTTCAACATAAAGGTTAGAAGTAATTATTCCTTTAAGACTTAAACAACCATGGTTAATAGAAGTTTTACTAAAAGATTGCATATGCTCCTGTTTTAAACAGCATAATGAATACAGTGTCACATTTTCTGCTGACCTCAGTTCACCTTTACAAGCATGCAGCAAAACATAGCTTTCTTTGCTAATCTATATACATCTGATGGCTCCTGTCTATGTTATTTTGTCTTCACATTGCAGATCTGCTTGAAGCACCTGACTCCCCACTCTCACATTTAGGATGCTGCCTGTTTTCTAGGCAGCAATGAAGGTTGCAAGGGGAAATGTATAACCCAATTTATTAAGTTGATAAACATTTTACAGAAGTAGTCGGGTTGGTGTAGACAAATGCATGGGCGGGTAACTACTACTGCCTTTGTTCTCATTTTCTGAGTTGCTTTAGCGTTTTCTTAATAAACCTGTATGTTAGCAGTCAGGACCCTGTCCCATTCTTTAGTTACGGCAGAAAAAGAATTCCCAAACTGTGAAGGAATAGTAAAATTTCTGGCAAGAAAAGGTTAAAATGGCAGCACGCTCATGACTGACTGGGTGCCCAGTACCCTATCTCTTATGTGCAGTTTCTGAAAAGCTCAGAAAACTGAAAGTATTTTTTTTTAATTCAGTTCAAACTTAACCTGACCTGAGGTTAACAGTCTTTATCCCACTTAGTGTTAAAACTCTTTGTTTCACTGCTAAGTATTAGTGCATTTGATTTAACACCTCTGGAAGAGTGGGAGTGGTTACTTGATATATATAGCAGATGCACTGTATTTCTTTTCTAAAGTTTTGAATTCTGAAATTTTGAGTTTGTTTTCTAAAATCTTTTCTAAAAATTTTGAATTCTGAAACATCTGGCTCCAAGGGTTTCAGATAAGGGATTGTGGACCAAAATCAGGAAGGTGTTTTCAAAAGTGCTTTTTCTCTGGTGTCTTTGTCTTATTATCGACAGGTTATGTAGCAAAATGTGAAATTATGCTGGACTTACTGCCAAAACAGCTGGGTTAGCTGCTTCCCCTATGTAAGTATACTCTTAGGCTTAGAGGAACTCAAGTTCTCACAGCTAGAAACCAGCAGACCTGGGGATTCGAAATCTTTCATTTTCCAGTGCTTACACACTCTTAATTGCTGTACTATACTGCTTTTATTGTGGGTCTTTTTTGGGGAAACCACACTTAGGGATTTCTACTGATCAACCCCAAGCCTCTTTGTCAGATCCATATGGGACTTCAGTTGCACATTCCTCTTATCAAAAGTTTGAGACTTGCCTTGCCTTACTCCTCTCTGTGTAGCTGTCATCGCTCTTAACATTTCATTTTTCTCTAAGCTTGGGTGGGAATATGACACCTAGTGGCTTCCCCAGCACCTTTCCCCCCAACTTCTTGCTAAGCCTGATGGACAGCTATTCAGGCCTTTTCCATTTCAAGGATCTTGCTGTTAATCACTATGGGGATAAATAAAAGTAACATACATAAATTAATAGCATAAAAATAATATAGGGCAGTTACAAAGAATGACTCTTGCTGTTTTCACCCTAGAGTTCTCCATAGAATCACATTTTAATTTCTGTTCTTTATTTCTGAAGATGGAGTCACCACTTATTCCCCTTCTGGCTCCATCTTTAGATGCATTTCAGGTCTGATGATAGTTGAAAGGGGAAAAATAGCAGAGCGTTTGTTTTCTGTAGACAATTTGAACCAGGTAACTTCCAGACTGAATGATATCCAGTTTATTTTAATAGATCTTTACCCTGACTAAAAATGAACTACTCTGGGTATTTCTACACTGCACTTGTCTCCAGCTAGGTGAGTCTTTTACTAGCGGAGTATGTGGCACTTAAATAGGCATTCAAAAATTCAACATACAGTGCACCTGTTAAGGGATATGGGAGATAAGGAAATGGCCCCTTTGGGGGGCATCTAACTACCTAAATTCCCATCCTAGTTCCGCTTACTTTGACACTTGGAACAAGTAGCTTCTCAGTGCCTGTTTCCTCACTGGTAGGTAAATGGGGCTAATGACGGTGTCTCTGGCACTAGATTGCTAGTAAATTAATGAAAAGCACTTAGAACAGTGCCTGGCACGCAGTAAGAGGGCAATAGATTCCCTAAGGGGCGGGGGCGCTTTGCCTGATGGTCTTCCTTCAGGCCGAGACGATGGGGAAGCCTTTGATTTTTCTACCGCGCGGTGCCTCTCCCCTGACGAGTTTTAAGTCCATGCAGACGCCTCTCTCCGTCTCCACCAGCCGCACTGGAGAAGCGAGTGCTCCAAAACCCAGCCCGGCCCACGCCAGGTGACGAGGGCAGCTGACGCCCTCTGGCCCGCGCGTCCGCCCTCGTTCCCCACCCGATTCCGGAATCTCCTCCCCCGCTCGCCCGGGTACCGGCGCGGCCCCGCCCCGGCTGCCGCGTGACCCGACGAGCCCGCCACGCACGCGGGGCCGCGAGGGCGGCGGGCGGGGGCCGAGGGCTGAGGAGCGTTCTGTGGCGACGGCGGGGGCGGGGCCACGTCGCAGACCCGCCCCCGCCGGCGGCTGCCTCCGCGCGCCAAAGTCGAACCCCGAGACCCGCCGGCGGGCTGCGGAGCCCACCGACCGCTAGTCAGCCGAGGTTCGGCGGCGCGGCCGGGCTCGCGCGCACCTGTGGCCGCCTCCAGCCTCCCCCGCCGACGCCCTCGGAGCCGCCGCGAGACCAGGAATGGCCAGCCCGCCCAAGAGAAGCTGCCCGTCTCCCGCAGCCAGCTCTGAGGGGACGCGCATCAAGAAAATCTCTATCGAAGGGAACATCGGTAAGGACGCCCCGGAAATGTTGGGCCCAAAGCGCGGGGGTTAAGGTGGCGGCTGAAGCTCTGCTTCGCCGCATCTCTCTGCTGCTCCTCAGTGAAGTCTTTCCCTACAGCCTGGCCGGGTGGACGCGCCCTCGGCTTCCCTTCCCGCCCAGAGCATCCTTCTCCTGCCTCCCGCCGCGGCCCGGGGTCAGGCCGGGCGCCAGGCCTGCGGGCTGTGCGGGGCGCTCCGAGCCCTTGCACCCTCTCTGTTGCGAACTTGCAGAGGACAGGGCTTTGGGGGGGAGAGGGCGTCAGAGTTCTCGAGGTACAGTATACACACGTTCAATTCACCCTATTTAGTTGTACTCTTCTGTGAGGTTTGACAAACGAATGCGGTTTCACTACCACCACGGGCGAGACAGAGGACATTTCTATCGCCTCCAGAAATCCCTTCCTGTTCCTTCGTGGTCAGCTCCCTCCCCCTCCCTATCCCCTGGCAACCATGGATCTGAATCTATCCCTGCAAGGTTTGCCTTTTCGAGAATGTTATATGGATGGAATCGTAGAGTGTACAGTCCTTTTGTGTCTTCTTTCATTTAGCATAATGTTTTTGAAATTCATTCGTGTTACTTGTTTCTGTAGTTTGTTCCTTTTTATTGCTGAGTAGTATTCCACTACGTGGATATTCTACAGTTTACCTACTCCCCAGTAAACATTTGGGTTGTTTACAATTTTTTAGTGATTATTAGCGAAGTTGCCATAAACATTCGAGTACGAGGGAAGAGGTTTTTGATCTTAATAGCATCGAGTTCCTCACCTCCTCCTCCACATCGAAGTAAACATTGGGTTATGATTCAAAGAGCACTAACCCTTCTGTTCTTAACCCAGATGGGGACAGACTACGCCATGCATGTCATTTTGCAAGATATTAATACATACGAACTTCCCATTCTTCTGTATTTCCTACTACAGAACATCTAACCCTGACACTTCCTGTTTTGATAGTTTTTTTTTTTTTTTTGGCTCCCGGTTGGGTGCTGGTCATTCTTGCACGCAGCAAATGGTTTTTAATTCTTACCACATTCAAACCACTGTAAGGCAAGGCGAGCAGATGTTTAAGCATTTAAAGGAATAGAAAAAAGCTGAACACATTCTCGAAGAGGACTTATTTCATTGCTCCAGTAGTAAGGCACCAATGGAGAAGACTATACAATAGACCCTCATTTTCTCTTAGCAGTGTAAGTTTTTTGAGGCTGCATGTTTACAAGCATGATTCGTCACAGCTACTTACTGGATAAAGAAGACCCTGTGTAAAGACAGGAGAAGGTAGTTGAACAAAACCATCTCAAGAGTAAATTTGAATGAACCCCTCAAATCAATACCACATGGATTAATCACCTCTCTCTCAAATCCAGTTAGGCAGCATGTCATATTTAGAAATCTACTTTTCCCCAAATGTCTTTAGTCTTCCCAGCACCTGTAATGATTTTGTAACATATCACCCATCTCCAGTTTCTCTTTACTACTTCCAGAGTAGTCTTCTGTATGCAAATGTCATTGTGTTGTCCCTTGCTTAACATTCGTCACTGACTTCCCCGTTACTGCCACTGCAAGAAGTTGCAAACTCATGGCCTGCGTTTGCTCTGTATTGGCCTGCACACATTGAAAAAAAAATTTTTAATTTGTAGCTTTTAAAAATTTTGGGATTTCCCATAAACATCTAGATTATTGGCTTTTGAAAAATCCGAAGATCTGATAACACTCGGCCTACATTTCTTCGTATGGCAACAATTGGTATTTAGATGGAGCGTGTTCGTCACCGTTTGTTGTCTCCCTGACAATAGGCTCTGTCAGTTGGTGTTTATTATTGCTCTTGTACTGTTGTTCATGTTCCCTTTACCTTATTTGCCAGATCCAAATAAACTATAAATATACAAATTGTTAATCTGCGTGTAGAAGACTATTTTGCAATTCCTCTATCCTTCCTAGAATTTGAACTTCACCTGATTATTTTAGTTTTGTATTCATATAACCCATCTTCTCATGTTCTGTGTTACTGAAGTGATCCTTTCTGTTAGATTTGTGGAGGACTTACCTACTTTTTATCTTAATAGTCTGTTCACAATGACTTCTAGCATTATAATGCCTACTTGGCATTAGGAATTCTGTGAATTTCCATGACTTTTTAAAGTATTAACATCAGTGTCCTTGGCTCTTGTTCTCCTGGCCTTTACAGAAAATTAACTTATTAATTAGCTTATTTTCTAGTGTCCACTTCCCCTCCCAAAAGTTAAGAAACTGGATATTAGTTTGAGTGGGAACTACAGCTAACCATTGTTACTCTGCTTGAATTAAATGTTAACTATTATGACTTAAAGTTTTAAAGTATGAGCGGTGCATAGTGACTCATCCCTGTAATCCTAGAGCTTTGAGAGGCTGAAGCTGGAGGATTGCTTGAGGCCAGAAGTTTGAGACCAGCCTGGGCAGCATAGCGAGACACCATCTGTACAAAAAATAGAAAACTTGGCTGGGCATGGTGGCATGTGCTTGTAGCTGCAGATACTCAGGAGGCTGAGGCAGGAGACTCGCTTGAGTCCAGGAGTTTGAGATTTCAGTGAGCTATCATGGCACCACTGCACTCTAGCCTGGGTGCCAGTGAGACCTTGTCTCAAAAAAAAAATTTTTTTTAAGGTGTGACCACATGGACTTTTTCTGCTTATAAGTAGTGTTAGAAGAAAGTTGAATGCTCTAGCTGTGCTTTCAGACTCTAGCATATGCCTGATGTTTTAATGTGTTCCTTTAGTGCTCTTTCTGAATATGTTATTCTCCTTTCCCTCTTGCACCTAGCTCAGTGATTGGTGATTTTTTTATGTGCTTCCATTTACCATTCTTTTACATGCCTTACAGTCCCTTAGCTTACCCTTGCCATGCTAAATTTTGGTCACCAGTGTTTTTCCCGTGATTAAATCTAATATTCATCAAGTTTATCTGTAAAAGTTTTTCTTCTCTCCTCTGGAGATAATATGACTTTTGTGTTTTGCTTCTCAGCTGTCTCTCTGTGTCACCTTATTTACTGCCCCCCCTTCTTTTTTTTTTTTTTTTTTTTTTTTTTGCTCTGTGTGTGATTTTTTAAAGTTCTTCCAGTTTTTTTCTTCTTTTCTGTTGCCCTGTATAATGTCCTAGATTTGAATATAGTTCTGCAAGTCAAAGGTAAGTTCTTTTTGCTCTCCTTGGTTCCAGTTTATAAGGAAGAGGAAGATCTGCTTGCTAGTGTATTAAAATTATTTATATGTTCTTGTGCGTGTGTGTGTATGTGTGTGTAAGGGGAGAGAGAGAGAGAGAGAAAACATTATGTTGACCAGATATCTACTATAACTACACACATTTGGTGACTTCAGATATAAAGGGTGTGGTGGTCATTAAGAGTAGTGATACACCTTGTAAGATTCTAGATCAAGACCATCCCTATTATTATATATAATGTATTCCTAGATAATTTTAAAATAGTGAACATAATATGTCCTTATTACACATGAACTATTTTCCTTTTTCTTTCCCCACTGAGAAATTAGCGAATGATCAGGGAAAAATAAAGTACATGTGTCTTTTTTTAAGGGTTTGGTAGAGTGTATGCACAGTGCGCAGAACCATGAAAGAGAAGCAGAGAGAACATGGCTATTGCTTGTAGGAAGTGCTTTGCAAAAATGCTTTCACAAATTCTTTTAGCTATAATGCCTATTCATGTCATATAGTAATCATACTATTTCACATTCTAAAACTGTAGGCATTGGATGTATCTTCATTTTGTTTTCATAGTTACTTGGTTGTTTCTTAATTGGTTTTAGATAGAAGAGAACTGAGCTTGTTTGTAGGCTAGAAGAATGGAACCAGTAGAGAGGAAGTTTTGAAAATGGAATGACTGTCACTGTGCTGGTACTTTACTTGTTATCAAAACAGTTTCCATGAGGAGAGTACTATTATCTCCGTTGTATTATGAAGAAACTGGCCCAGACAGGTTCAGGGACTTGTCCAAAATCACACACCTAGTTGAATGGGAGGATAATCTTAACCACTTCCCAGAAAGTTAGAAAGTTGTCTCTCTAATTGCTTGGCTGAGGAAAGTGAGTCTAGGATAAGATCTTTTTTTTTTTCTGCCATAACATCCTGCCTAAAATTTCACTGGGTTTTTAATTCCTCTGTTTCAGGGCTTCGCTAAACTGAAAGTAATAAAAAACAAATGTGCTTAACACAATTGGGCAAGGGAGCCTTTTCATTTTCATTTTTTAAAAAACATGAAGAGAAAGTTTAGGACGGTGAATGTTTGGGGTTTTTTGTATTTGCTATTATAAATCTTGTAAATACTTATGACTATTTGGCTTTTTTTTTTTTCCCCTGACAAGTTTTCTTCCTCAATTTTACCTTTCCTCTCACAACAGCTGCAGGGAAGACAACATTTGTAAATATCCTTAAGCAAGTCTGTGAGGATTGGGAAGTGGTTCCTGAACCTGTCGCCAGATGGTGCAATGTTAAAAGTACTCAAGATGAATTTGAGGTATGAAAATAAAGTTTAAATAAATAAAATAAAAACCTTTTGGTTTAGAGGAGCAGTAGTATTGAATCTCTTGGCTTTTTTTCTTTTCCAATAAAACTTTCAAATCTAACTTTAAGTCTGTGTCTTCATCTGGGCAGTAGTTATGTGGATGTATATACAGTCCACTCTCCGTCTGTGGCTTCCACATCTGTGGATTCAACCAACCATGAATTGAAAATATTTGGAAAAAAAATAACAATACAACAATAAAAAATAATACAAATAGAAAATACTGTATAATTATAACATAACATTTACTTCGTATTAAGTATTATAAGCAATCTAGAGATGATTTAAAATATATTGGAGGATATGCATGGGTTATATGCAAATTCTAGGCCATTTTATGAAAGAGACTTGAGCACCTGTGGATTTTGGTATCTGAGGGGGGCTCCTGGAACCAATGCCCGACAGATGCTAAGGGATGACTGTATATGTAAACATCAAGCTATGCATTTAAGATTTGTGTACTTTATTGCATCTAAGTAAAGTTTTTAAAAAGTTAAAGTGAATAAAGAAGTCTTAAAAAATCTAATTGCAAATTAAATTCCTTGAGTAGCTTTTAATATTTTGTTTAAAAACAAGCAAACAAGAAAAATCAAAAAAGACTCCCCAATAACTGAGTTTTATCAGTTTATCTTTTAAGCCTTTTGTCTTAGAGAAAAATCACTTATTTCTCATTTTGGCTGGGTCGATTTTTTGCGGGGTGTTGCCTCGGTTCTTTGGTTCCTTGCTTGGAAAAATCGCAAGCGGGGCTGGAGCAACGGAATGATGACAGACACTTAGCACTTCCACATGAGCAGCTTTTATTGCAGGCTTTGCAGCCTAGAAATAGAAAGTGAAAGTCCATGCCCTGAGGGGAAACCGGTCTGTCTCCGTGAGTGGAGAAGATGGTGGGGTCTTACCACACTTCTACTTTTATGTCTATACCTTATGATATACTAAATGGTGGGTGAAATATTCATGAATTTCCTGGGAAAAAGGGTGGAGAGTTCTTAGAGCTAAGGGCCCTTCCCAATTTTATCTTTATAGGGTAACTTCCAGGGGTTGCCATGACATTTGTGAACTGTCATGGTGCTGGTGGGTGTGATTTTTACTATGCTAATGTATATTAATGGAGAAAAGGTCACCTTTGGACATGAGCTCCTGGTTTCTCTGCATGCTCCTGGTGGGGATAAGTCCCTAACCTCAAGTTCCTGCTGTTGTGGGTTTGGTTCTAAATGCTCCTTGGTCTCTTCATTTTTGACCCCCTCCTCTTTTCCTGTGGTTAGGGCTGCCAGCCTGCACCTGTTCCTAACGATTTCTTCGTATTTTCATTCTTGCCAGACTTCCCTTCTGGGCACAAGTTTCAATTTCCCAGCACTTTTCTATTCTTGCAAATGAGAAAGAAAGGGAATAACAAAGTTAAATTTCACTTTTTTTTTAGCAAAATTTTGGTTATGTGTGTAGGACAGAGTGCTAAGACTTTCATTTCTGCAGAAATGAAAGTTGAAATTGAAGCAATAAAGCAGAAACCTTAATGGAAATGTATGCTAGAAACTTACTTTGTTTGAAGAGGACAGAGGGTTAAAAAAATGTCTCTTAATGTTTGGATGTTGGTACGAGGAATTCTGAGAATAATAATTGAGTATTTAAAATGTAAATCACATATGCAAAGAGGAATCACTAGCAAGATACTTAGTAGACTTTGAGGATACATGGTTTTGAAAACCAAAAATACTTTCTCACACAGCTTCTATTTAGGCCTGGGGCCCAATTCAGTAACCCTAATCTTTAGAATATCCAGAACTAAATCATAAAGGGACTTTCTTTCCATATGGACCCCATTTTATTAAGATACTGATGTTTTACATTTGGTCTTTGAGGGAGAAAGGTGGGGTTAGCCTTCAGTAAAATCTTAAAATGGGTAAATTATTTGCTTTTTTTCAATTTTTTAATTGACATATCTTTATAGAACAGTATATGAGCCCTATGTATGTATAGTTTGAAGAACAATTTTAAAGCCAACATCTTTGTAATCCTTAGGCAGGTCAAACAAATAGAACAGTATCATTCATTCCAGAAGTCCCCGCTTATCCTTTCCAATCACAATATCTTCTTCCCTAGGGTGACAACTTGCTAGAGGTAATCAGCTGACATACTCTTGTGATAATAGTTTCCCTGCTTTCTAAAAATGATTGACCACACATGAACATATCTCTAAGAAATGCAATTTAGTTTTGTCTCTCAATGTTATAGAAATGGAATTATACTATTTGTATTCTTTTTCTCCTTTACTTAATAAGTTTATAAAGTTTGTCCATATTGTTGCATGCAGCTATAGCTTGTTCATTTTCATTGTTATATGTAGTATTTAATTTTATTTATATATCACTATTTGTCCATTTTGTACCTTTGAATTTTGAGTGGTTTCTAGTTTAGTTGTTCTTGTAAACAGCATTGCTCTGAACATGAATTCTGGTGCACACATGTAAGAGTTTCTCTAGGATTAAGAAGTGAAGTTACTTGCTGGCTGGGTATGCTTTTGATGCTTGTTTTCCAAAGTGGCTTACCAGTTTTCTCTCCCCACAGTGTAACTAAGCTCAAATTAGTCCATGTCTTTGCCAACATTTAGTGTTGTCTGGCTCCCTAATTTTTATCATTCTGCTGAGTGTTTATTTTCTTTTATGTTTTTTTATATGTATTTCCCTGATTGCTAATTAGACTGTATTCCTTTTTATATGTTTATTAGCCATTTGGATTTCTTTTGTGAAGTGCCTATTTAGGTCTTTTTGCCTATTTCCCTTTGGGTCATCTGCCTTCTTTCTCTGGAATTCTTATCTCCCTAAGTATGTATTGTGGCCTCTGGCTTTTTAAAGCCTTTCACTCAAGTGCCAACTCAAGTTTGCATACCTTTTGAAATGAGAGGTTTGAGTTCTAAAAACACCTCTTTTAGCCATGGGCTCCCATTTTGGGAGGTGGGAGGATTCCTTGAGGCCAGGAATTCAAGCCTCAGCCTGGGCAACTTAGCAAGACCCCATCTCTACAAAAATTAAAAATTAACAAAATGTGGTGACATGCGCCTGTAATCCAGGCTACTTGGAAGGCTGAGGCAGGAGGGTCTCTGGAGTCCAGGAATTTAAGGTTGCAGTGAGCTGTGATGATACAATTGTACTCTAGCCTGGGAGACAGCAAGATCCTGTCTCAAAAAAAAAAAAAAAAGTCATTGAATTTAGATCAATCCATTCTGTTAGGCCCATAATTCGTAACCAGTGGAAGGAACTCATAAGACTCTCAAGGATTTGGGTGCTTTATAAAATAGCAGACAGTCCCCTGGGGGTTCAAATCTGTCGGATGCCTCCTAGTTAAAAAGCATTGCCTCAGTGAATCACTGTTAGTGTTGGGAGTATATTGAACCCTTTAGTTCTGGTGCAGAGGAGAGGTTGAAAACATTGCATTAATATATATGGGAAGACAATTTGTAATAAGGTTATCTGTTGAGCTTGAAATTGGAGCCCAGAAGAATTAATTAGATTATGTTAATGGCTGATGTCATTGGAGTATGACACGTCGATGTATCTGTCTTCATTTTAAGACTTACAGCTTCATGACTCTGATATTCATGTTTATGGGCTGGGTCATTTTCTTTCCATGTACTAAAATCAGAATGTGAAACTGGCCATTCTTTATAACTAGCATGAAGATGATCCTATTATTATTAACATATCGTTTCATCAGATAGTTCATTGCAATCCAGTCATGTCTCCATGAGGTTGCAATTTGATTACCTTCATTGGATTTTGATGCACACTCTTGGAGGGAGCTTTAGTTTTTTTGTATGTATTGAGGGCTACTGTGTTGTTAATCCTTTATACTTCTAGACAGAGTTTCAGACAGTATAGGGATAGTATTTTGGGGATAAGGTTGTGAGGGTGAGTGGGTGCGTAGCTTCCCTGTATCTTTGGACATTTTCTTCTTTTGTTTCCCACTAAACTCAAGAAATGAGATTTTTCTTCCTTCATCCTGGAGCCCTTCTTCCCCAGACCCATGTGTTCCTTGGGGTTATAGTGTGAATCACCCACTATCCAAATCTCAGCATTCTTAGAATGCTGTCAGCAATGAGAAATGGACTGTTTTCAGCTTCAACCCTGGTAAAGCCATTCCAACTTTGGATATTATCCATTTGATCACACATCCTGGCAGTTGTAGAATTGAAAGAGTTGGGTCGTGGGTACCTCTGATCCCTTCCCTTAGTAACTAATCGTGCACCTGAATACTTAGCTTTTTTGTTTTGTTTTTAGCTTTTCTTACCTGCCACCTAGTGGCTGAAATGTTGCAATACTATTGATAAGCTACCACTAATTTTGGCAAAATAAGAGCAAAGTACCTATGAAGATTATGTAGACTCCCCTCCCCTCTCCTCCCCTGGTAAGATGATCCTTAAAACATACCACCCATATGATTATCAGTCTTTGTATTGAAGGTTTATTTCAAATAATAGTAATGATATACTTTATTAGGTGATTTATGTTATTTAGGCCCAAAGCTTTGATTTAATTCCTTTCTTTTAGCTTATATTTAAGATATTTAGGCTGTTAGGAAAATATTTGTCCTTTTTTTTTTTATTGAGCTGAATTCTTTTGGGGGATCATTATTATTATTAATTGTGAGGTACTATTTTACATTTTTTAATTAAAAAATCTAAAAATTTTTATTTTTTAATTGACAAAAATTATATATATCTGTGGTGTACAACATGATGTTTTAAAATACGTGTACATGTGGAATGGTTAAATCAAGCTAATTAACATATGCATTACCAGTACTATTTTACTTTTATTCAATATTTCTTAACACTAAAAAGCCACTGAAAAATTAGTAACTGTGAGAAAGAAGGTATAAAATATCCATGTCTGTGAAACAGTAGCATACTTTCTACTTTTGACAGGTCATTCTTGAAAATTAGGAATGCTTAATAAAGTACTTCCACTTGTACTTTCTGAAAGCATGTGATAACTTTTGTGGGCTAATTTATAATTGGTAGACTCTGATCTTTTTCGGTTGAATTTAATTCAGCTCTTTTGCAATGTTTACAAAATTCGACCTAGAATTAAAAGATGATATTTTATATCTTGGTATTTCTGTTTTTCATTTATCTTGGCAATAATCTATACTTCCCATAAAACAATGAAGTGTTCTATCATAAAGTGACAATGGATATGAATTACTAGAGAATAGAATAAAAATTATCAATAATCCTACCACCCTATATGTATCTTTTATATAGTTGAGATAATTTACTGTATCCAATTTTGGCAGGAAGTTACATAATTTTAATATTATAAAGTAATACCTGTTCACTGTTCAAAGTTAAGAAAATATCAGGGATTATTAAAAGAGGAGAATAAAACTTACCTATAACCTTATTACCCAGAGATAACTACAGATTTTAGTTGGTAAGACAGTGTAGAATTTTGTACTTTACTTCCTCCCCCCAATTAATACTTACCTCAAGGCAAGTAAAAATGTTATTAAAAATTTACTGTAAATGATTTTTAAAGGCAGCCTAATTTATTTTGTGCATGTACTATTACTTACTTAATACAAATGCCCAATAATAGTGGAATAATAACCTTCTCTTTGCTTAGCAGTGTAATACTTTGCATTTAAATCTGTATTCTAGATTATTTCTTTAAAATAAATTTCCAAAAGTGAAATTAATTGGGCCAAAATGTACTGATTTTTCTTTTTTAAAATAAATGTAGCTAAACTGCTTTCTAGAGATGTTCTACCAGTTTTTACTTAATGTAGTTTGAGGAATTCACAATTTTTATCTGTATTTTTTTCAGAGGAAAAAACTCTATAAAATAACACATTTTGGTAAAGATGGGGCACAGTATTTTTTGGGTAAATTTCTAATACATATTTTGTTCTTAACATTTATAATTGCAAAGAAAAAAAACTCAGCAATTTGTCTCAAACATTGCATGCATAGGATCAAATAGGTTATCCTGAAGAATCAGAAAATCACACTGCTAATTTTCTAATTTGATAGACTATTAAACTAAGAGACAAAAACTAACATCTTTAAATCTGGAAATACTATTGCAGACTTTTGATTCAGTTTTAATTTATCCTACCCCTCTTCCCAAAGTGCTAGGATTACAGGCATGAACCACCACATCTGGCCTCAGTTCTTCTTTGGCAAGATTCCTAGTTGGTGTCTTTCTTTAAATGAGGTGGATGTCTTCTGTGATGTTAGAATTGATCAGTCAGTTCAGGTGTTGTCAGCCTAATTCATCCATTATAAAATTCCCTATCACCTTTTCTCTCATGATTTTTAGCATCTATTGTTAATTGTTGCCTCGCTGCAGTATATCATTAGGTGTTATAAAAGGTGATATTCTTTCTCAGGCCTTCTGAATTTATTGGCTGAGATTCTTCAGTAAAGAAAACCTTTTCCTCATCTACTACTTCATTGCCTTAAAAGCATTTCTACAGAAAAGGCCAGAATAAAAATACTTGATACTGTTTTTTCTTCTTTGCCTACAAATTTCTGGAATAATTAATTCGCCCCCTAGCAACCTCAAAAGATGACTAGAGTTTTGGGGTTTTTTTTAGTATTATGAACTCATGGATTTTAGCCTTCTGTTCTTTTTGAATGTCCAAATTGTCCTATCTTTGACGAGTGGAAACCCCTTATGTTGGCTTCTTTGCCCTTGGCACAATCCCAGTAGTCTTTGATAGTTTCCTTGTTTTCTGGAACAAGGTATATGAAGCTTATTTTGTACATTTCCTTCCCCAAATTTAGAATCAGGTATGGAATTCTAATTCTTTTCCATGGGAAATACTTAGAGATCATAATCTGGATGGTATTTATGTTTATTCCTTTGGGGTTGTCATAGTTTATAGGCCTTTTGGTAGATAGAACTAAGAAAACTATATTTTATAGAAAGAAAAATAATTCATGTGTTTTAGATGCTATTTCTAATTCAGATGGAAGATTACAGAGTTTTTATTTCATTTTTAATTTTACATTTGTATTTTTTTCTTAACACTGAAAATACTGGTTCTAACACTAAGATTATTGAATTGCAAAATTGTGGGGAGGATCTATTTTGTTACATTCGAAGACCGAGTTACAAATTCAAATACCTGAGGGGGCCAGCAACCAAATGAATAAATCGAGCCTGTTATGAGAACCATCAGGGAATGGTGGGGGCTGATAAACTGGACAACATACACCCACCCAGTGGAGGCACGTGTGACTTG